TCCGGGGCTAAAGAAAAAACATCCGGGGCTAAAGCCCCGGATGCCTACCCCAGGCGACGCCCCTGGTTGACGTTATGTCAAGTCCCCTGTCGGCTTTTTCCAACGCAAGGGGGGGGCCTTAGCGTCCATTTTCAGCTTTCCGGGATGTCCATATGCTTCTATGGACGCTCATGGAAGCACGGCATTCGTTTGTGTCGGCTGCCCTTAAAGGCAATGTGAGCGTCCATTCTCATTGGATAACGGAGAATTGTGCACCCGGAAGTAAGTATTCCCCTTACTGTCGATTGATTTTACAGTGATATCTGCACTACTCATCGACTAAAAAACACCAGATTATCCTTGTTAATTACACAACATTGATTGGTTTAAATTGTGTGCAATGCTTTTGTATTTTCCCCCTTCGATTCGGAGAAACAAATATGTTTTCGGAGTAAAGGATGGCAGAAGACACTACACTACCCAGAATCCCCAGCTATCGTTTGGACTACACCATGTGCTCTGTTTGACGTCACGTGATCTTCAAATTTCTCCCTGCAGAAAAAAAAAACATGGCCGAACTTCGTTTTATTCTCGATGGAAAATGCCTATTTTAAAGTTAGTTTGGCCATTAAAATACGTTTTGATGTTATTTGATGCGAGAAATATGAGTTGTTATTTCAGATTATGTGTGCAGTGGATGTACATGATCTTTAGTTTGCTAGTTATTACGAAGATTACTTCAGGAAATTGCGTCCATAACGTTTTCATTGTTACCAAGGTGGTTGCTAGTGTTAACTGTGATGGTTATTCTCGCGTCCAGGAAAGAGAAGCTTAAAAAGGAGACTAAATGGAGTCTCTGAGATGTTTTCAAATTGGTACTTTAATTCATAAAAGGCGCGGTACAGTCACAAACAGGATATTGTCCGACAGAAAAGCAGCTGTCTCTGGCCCTCGCTAGCAGAGAAAAGAGGCCGAACCGCTCAGGTGCTGCTCTTATATAGCTTCTGCAGGCTCCTCCCTGCGGGCCGGCCCTCCACATCTTAATGTCCGTTGTTACGTTTAAACAGAGGATTCAGGCATTGTACATTCAATACATACTTAAACACGCCTCTTCTCCTCATATTGTCTTTCATCACTTTTCCTTTAACACATTCTAAACGTTGTAGTTAATATTCTAAAAAATACAGAAAATACTTCACGGCTGGTTTGGTTTCTGGTCATTCCGGAAGTTGTCACATCTTACCCACGTCTGTAAACAATAACTTTATTCAAATAAACTATACCTTCATTTAATATTCAGCAATAATAATACGTCTATAGTTGCAGTGTTAAAATCAGTAGGTTTCTGTGTGCATCACTCCATGTCATTTCGCTACTAAATTAACCTCTATAAGAAATGGTAAACTAGCCACATGCTAACCGGAGATGAAGGATTTTCAGAATAAAAGCTTAACTGGTTGTGCACAATAATTTTCTGGTTTTTCAGTATAAAACAGCATTTAAACTGAAGGTACATTTAAGGTACATTATGCCATCAAAATATTGATTTTAATTTCTAACACTAGGGACGCTGCTATCGATATTATTTCTGTTATGTTGTGTAACTGTTTAATGGTGTTATCTTTATTGCTACCCCCTTCCCCGTCAATGTATAGTGTTGGTCCACAGCGCAAACATATTAGTTTAACAAAATCCGCATCTAAAGATAGCCTACGTTATTTTCCCCTGTGCAATTCCAGTCTCACATCTCACAGCACATCGTCATTAACAAATAACGGAAACAGACCGAAAACATTTTAAAAAAAATACAATAATACTTTATTCCGAGTGTGCTTGCTTTTCTCTTTGGAAGTCATCACATAACGGCATTGTAATACACGGTTCGGCTGCATTAAATATTACATATCTGCCGTAGTTCTGTATTTATAGAGCCCTGATGAGAAGACTTCTAGACAAACATGAGGAACTGAAAACGTGACGTGGATCATAAATATATCAGCCATTAAACAACATCTTACATTTCTTTTCACACAATACGTCTCCTTGCAGTATCAACACTAATTCGGCTGACTTTTATATTTGAACCAATTGGTAGATAGGCTGTATTTACACCATAAAGGTGCACAGCTGATATAAAGGGACACCTAGTGGTTAAAGCATGTTATTGAATTTCATTATTTTTATTATTAGATATTAATAGGATCCCTATAAAGTATATTAATTACTCGTTATTCTCTACTAATAGTTAATTAAAGACTGTATATAATGACTATTTTGCACATCCCTTTCAAGATTTCAAGATTTTCTAAGGTTTATTGACATATCATATAGGCCTACACAACTATGGTGTAGTTATGCATTGAATGAAAAACTTGGGTCGCAGGTTCCTCAATAGTGCATTACAAGACATCTATCAATATTTGTGCATACCTCCAGCAATGTTAACTATGTTGAAGCACTTATTTTAACTGATATTATACATGATGTATTATACTCTTATAAGATTTATGTAGATATTTCATCTCCGACCTTGTCAGGTATTGAACAATCAATAAATAAAGAACACAGAATTGTTGAATATAAAACACAGCATTTTTGTGATTATACTAAATGATTTACAAACAAACACCACTGCATATTTAACTGTTACACATGCTGATGTAACGCAAATGTTCCAACTTGAGATCAATAAAGTATATATTATCTTAAGCTGATCGATGGCTACTGCCATATTTGCAAAATGTGCCTCTGAACCTTAACAAGTGCATGTTTCAGGCTTATCAATCAATTAATGTAATGTAATGTAATGTTATCAATTAACAACAGGGGTCACAAACATAAGACCAGCTGTTAAATAAAGCTCTTCTGACCTTAGCTGGCATGTGTATATATATATTAATGCTGCCCATTATGGGCACAAGCAATTTTCACCCATTTATTAATTATATGTTTTAAATGTGAGTGTTTCCTATCCCCTAAACCTCCAGGGATGTACACAGTTTAATACTGGCAACTTCTTATTATGGGAAATACGAAAACGTCTTTTAAAACTACAACTCCCAGTAGAGACGTGCCATAGATACAGAACATGTTGCGAAACAGAATAGCCAGCATTTGTAGTTCTGCGGACGGGGTGGGGGAGGGGGGACGTGGTGGACCCGTTCAAATCCAGTTTTGGACAGTCTGCCGTGATTCCATCCCATTTCAAGTGCTGTTCGAGGCTCGGCGTAACCCTCGGAGCACACTCTCCAATCACAGAGCTTGAGGACTATCACGGGGTTTGTCAAACAGAGCACATGGTGTAGTCCAAACGATAGCTGGGGATTTTGGGTAGTGTAGTGTCTTCTGCCATCCTTTACTCCGAAAAAACATTTGTTTCTCCGAATCGAAGGGGAAAAATACAAAAGCATTGCACACAATTTAAACCAATCAATGTTGTGTGATTAACAAGGATAATCTGGTGTTTTTTAGTCGATGAGTAGTGCAGATATCACTGTAAAATCAATCGACAGTAAGGGGAATACTTACTTCCGGGTGTACAATTCTCCGTTATCCAATGAGAATGGACGCTCACATTGCCTTTAAGGGCAGTCGACACAAACGAACGCCGTGCTTCCATGAGCGTCCATAAGCATATGGACATCCCGGAAAGCTGAAAATGGACGCTAAGGGCCCCCCCCTTGCGTTGAAAATGGACGCTAAGGCCCCCCCCCCTTGCGTTGGAAAAAGCCGACAGGGGACTTGACATAACGTCAACATAGGCCGACCTGGGAGTGAGGATGTGTTGGAAAAACAGGCTCAGGGCTTAACACATCCACCCTGTTTAAAAGGGCAGGGCTTGTGGGCCTTCTGTACATTCACACCTGCACACACAGACAGTCCTCCAGCACCACACGCTGCCCCTTTGTAGCAAGTCATTGTCATTAGCCCCGCCCACGTGTTCTTGGTTACAGAGCCTCTGAAGTCAGACTCTACTTTTTCTTTGTAGTGTCTCTTTGCACTGCTCATGGTTCTCAGGAGCGCGTACCTAGACTTCCTGTACTCGTCCAAATCTCCTAGTCTGTGCTTTCAGTTTGGCACGGAATTCGCCGTTTAACCAGGGCTTCTGGTTCGGGAATGTTCTTACAGTAATCTTCGGTACTACTTCATTGATGTATTTTCCAATTTAGCAAATGGTCTTTTACTTTACAAATGACTTTTACTTGGTGCAATTGTAGATTATTAGGAGTTCATCTCAATTCAGTTTAAACAGATGAAATGTTATGTGGAAAAAAAGGTATGAATGTATTTTATGACGATAAATTGTTATGCTATAATATAAATAATATATATTATATAATAGATAGATGAACTCAGACGATTGCTAACAAACATCAGGTAGGATTTTCTGTGAAATGGCAAGATGGGTGGGAAGGGGAAGGGACGGGGTGGCATGGGAATGGAATTCCCTATATTTTTTCTTTCTTTCTTTCTTTGTCTTTTCTTTTTGTATTGTCTATATTGTCTATATAATTTGTATCTGTATAAGTCCTTTTTGTGAGGGCAAAAAAAACAATAAAAAGTTGGTCACAAAAAAACAAATGACTTTTACTTGTCACAGAACATTCCTACACTCTGGTACTTCTAAGTTTACTCAAGCACAAGATCTGCGTACTTTGTCCACCTCTGAACAAGCATCACACATGGTATTGAGACTGCACTGTCATACCTTATTGTTTGTGTCACTTGGGGTCTTAGCAGTCCTTGCATCAGCCCAGTGCCTCAGTACAGTACATGTTTGTCAAAAGAAAGTCACATTCCTCAGCTTCAGTGGGACTGCTTCACTAAGTCCTGACAGCCCCTGTGGTTCCTGCTTACCCATTAGTGCACGGACTGTTACAGCTGACTGCAGGAGGAGGTTTCAGCAGCTCTTAAACAGAAAACAAGTGCCGATGCAAGATCATTGCAGAGTAGTAGTTATTAATTTGAAACCAAGATGTTCAGAGGCTTTTTTGGGGGATTTTTTGTTGTAATGCTGGCAGGCCTCCTGCTGTGCTCGGCCACAGGCCTGCTGATGGTGGATCAGCGCAGAGATGCAGAGGAAGACCAGGAGCGCAACAAAGCCATCTTAGAAATGCTACACATTAATAAAGTGTCTGCAAGCCATCAGGCCATGCCACATCCTTACATGAGGGAGATATATCAACGTTTGGACTCACTGGAGGTTCAGGACTTTGCGAGTTCAGATGGAACGCTGGTGCAGAGTTTTCGGAGTGTTGTTGGTAAGGATTCAAAATTAATTATCCTCTTGTCTTAAATATTTTAACCTTGAAGTTTTCCTTCAGCTTAACACCTACTGAGACATCACTATTTCGGTTTTGGCAAGATGTGCAACATCTTTAAAGCTTAAAGGTGGGGTAGGTAAGTTTGAGAAACCGGCTCGAGATACACTTTTTGTTATATTCCATGGAATGCTCTTAACATCCCGATAGCAATGAATATCTGAAGTGCTTTGACAAAAAATCCATTAAAAAATATCATCTGTGGAAGCCGTAGGCAAGGCAAGGCAAGTTTATTTATATAGCACCTTTCAACACAAGGCAATTCAAAGTGCTTTACAAAAAACGAAATACATTAAGAAAATGGCATTTAAAATCAGTCATTAAAAAGAAAAGATAATAAAATAAACATTAAAAGAAAAAATACATGGATAAAAGTTACAGTGCAGTTTAAGATGTGAATAGTTCAATTAAAAGCAGCAGCAAAAAGAAAAGTCTTTAGTCTGGATTTAAAAGTAGTCAGAGTTGTAGCGGACCTGCAGGTTTCTGGGAGTTTGTTCCAGATATTTGGAGCATAATAACTGAACGCTGCTTTACCATGTTTAGTTCTGACTCTGGGGACAGAAAGCTAACCAGTCCCTGAAGACCTGAGAGATCTGGATGGTTCATAATTTAGCAGTAGGTCAGAAATGTATTTTGGGCCTAAACCATTCAAAGCTTTATAAACCAGCAGCAGTATTTTGAAATCTATTCTTTGACACACAGGAAGCCAGTGTAAAGACTTCAGAACAGGAGTGATGTGATCCACTTTCTTAGTGTTAGTGAGGACTCGAGCAGCGGCGTTCTGAATCAGCTGCAGCTTTCTAATAGATGTTTTAGTGAGACCTGTGAAGACACCATTACAGTAGTCGAGTCTACTGAAGATAAAAGCATGGACAAGTTTTTCCAAAACCTGCTGTGACATTAGTCTTTTAATCCCAGATATGTTCTTTAGGTGATAGTAGGCTGATTTAGTAACTGTTTTAATGTGACTGTTGAAGCTCAGGTCAGAGTCCATAACTACACCTAGATTTCTGGCTTTATCTGTTATTTTGAACATTGCAGGCTGAAGCTCAGCGCTAACTTTTATACGTTCTGCCTTGGCTCCAAAAACCATTACCTCAGTTTTATCTTTGTTTAATTGGAGAAAGTTCTGACACATCCAGTCATTTATTTGTTCAATGCACTTACTCAGTGTTTGAATTGGAGCATAGTCTCCTGGTGAAATTGTTACGTAAATGTGTGTGTCATCCGCATAGCTATGGTAACTTATTTTGTTGTTTTTTCATTATTAGTGGTAGCATGTAGATGTTAAAGAGAAGAGGCCCCAATATGGAGCCTTGAGGAACCCCACATATCATATTTGTCAACTCAGATGTGTATTTACTTATAGAAACAAAGTTTTTTCTGTCCTTTAAGTAGGATTCAAACCAATTTAGAACTGTTTCCGAAAGTCCCACCCAGTTTTCCAGTCGGTCTAGTAATATGTTGTGGTCAACAGTGTCAAACGCAGCACTGAGATCTAATAATACTAACAATGAAGTTCTGCCACTGTCTGTGTTTAAGTGGATGTCATTGAAGACCTTTACAAGAGCAGTCTCAGTGCTGTGGTTTGGACGAAAGCCTGACTGGAACACATCCAAACAGTTATTTAAATGCAAGAAATGACTCAACTGTTGAAAAACAACTTTTTCAATGATTTTACCTAGAAATTGCAGGTTTGATATGGGCCTGTAATTGTTCATTACTGAAGCATCTAGATTATTCTTTTTTAAGAGCGGTTTAATGACTGCAGTTTTCAGGGCCTGTGGAAAAATACCTGAGTGAAGAGATTTGTTTACTATATGAAGTAGATCTGAGGCCATGCAACGAAAAACATCTTTGAAAAATCCTGTTGGAATAATATCAAGGCAGCAGGAGGAGGATTTCAGAAGTTGAATAATGTCCTCTAGGTTTTTATCATTAATCTGATGGAATTGTGTCATGGTGTTTGAATTGATATTAGGTGGACATAGGGGCAACACATTTGCTGTTCCTGATGCAGAGGCACTGACTGCTTGTCTGATTTTCTGAATGTTGTCAGTGAAGGAGGCAAAATCATTGCACGCCCTGGTGGATAGAAATTCAGAGGCTACTGACACTGGGGGGTTAGTTAGTCTGTCGATGGTAGCAAACACGGCACGTGCATTGTTTTTGTTTTTGGTAATGATGTCAGAGAAGAAAGACTGTCGTGCGTTTTTAAATTCCAAATTATAAAGGCCAAGTCTCTCTTTATAGATTTCAAAGTGAACCTGGAGATTTGTTTTTCGCCACCTATGTTCAGCTTTTCGACACTCTCTTTTTTCTGTTTTCACGGTCATGGCCTTTCTCCATGGAGATATTTTCTACCCAGTCACTTACTTTACCTTAGTTGGAGCAATAGCATCTATAACATTTTTAATTTTTGAATTAAAATGATCTACTAGCTCATTTACTGAGATGTTAGCAGGAGCAAGTGTGGAAGAAAAATTCTGAGTAAACATTTCCCTAGTATTTTCAGTTAAATATCGCTTTGTGGTTACCTCTTTTTGAAAAATTTTGTGAACAGAAATAGAGCTCTCAAAGAAAACACAGGAATGATCAGAGAGCGCAATCATTTTAGCCGGCCCGGCTAAAATAACTGGATGGCCTACCTGCCTGTCAGCCTTCCATCTGTGCACAAACTTATCTCGTGCCCTCATTGGTCATGTGTGCGTTCGTGTGTGTTGGAGGAGGGGCTCTGTAAGGAAGTGGCAGATTTTTTCCGGCTGTGTATTTTCAAATTCTAGCGCACTCGAGCTGGTTTCTCCAAAATGACCTACTCCACCTTTAATATATAAGGAGCATTATGAAGACCACCAGAGTTCCCATTTATCTTATACTGTAAAGCAGTGGTCCCCAACCACGCGGTTTATAAACATATTATACAAATATATTTTATTGATTTATTGATTAACAGTCTGAAAGACATTTTATTTTTCGTGTGCCGTGAGTTATTAAAGTGATAAATGTTTCTGAACCAGCCCAACTCATGGAAAACCGCCATCTGGCAACACTGAGCGTGAGAGCAGTCTGGACTCTGGAACGTCATAACCATAGACCGGTGCTTCTCAAAGTGTGGTCCGCGGACCACCGGTGGTCCGTGAGCGCCCCCTAGTGGTCCGTGAGTATATTGGTAACATTGGGCGGAGTCACAGGCTCTGAGGATGTAAGACGTGTTTCTCCGCTGCTCCTGAGAATGTGACTTAATTTCATAAATCCTGCACAATTTTGGTATTTTATTGTTGAAATGAAATAGAACATAAACTAAGGATTCGTCGTACGTGACTTTTGTTAACCAAAACAACCGAAATGTCTTCTGCTCGCCAAAAATCCGAAGCACAGAGAGGAGGCCGCAGCAAAACCTCGCCTTTGCCTGACCCGGCTAACGCTACTCGAGGGGTGACTGAAGCTAACGCACTCGACGCCAAACTTTGACAAAGTATGATGGACTCCCTGAAAGCCGAAATGTTTGGCTAAGTTGACTCTTTGTCTTCCAACCTACGCTCCGAGATTACCTCTGTCAGAAAAGAACTAAAAGAGTCAATAGGACCATTACAAGCTAAAGTCGATCAACACGGGCAAACTGTGCTTGAGCTTGAACGAGCTGCTACGGACCATAGCGGCCGGGTAACGGAGCTGGAAGCTACAGTTAGCAGGCTAACAGCTCAGGCTAAACATGTTGATGATTGGTGCGAGGACCTGGAGGGGAGATCCAGAAGGAATAATATTCTGCTGGTGGGCATATCGGAGGGATTGGAGGGACCTCGTCCTACTGAGTTTATCACCAAACTACTTCAGGAAATACTTCGCCTGGATGAAAAGCCCCTGCTAGATCGAGCCCATCGTACACTACGGGACAGGCCCAGAGAGGGAGATGCACCCCGACCAGTAAGAGTTCATTACTTTCACATTTGCAATGAGATCCTACGTCGGCGGAGCTAAAAAGCGAGCTGCTTTTGGAACTGTCAAGCGTCAGCTGCACTCATGTCCGGGCATTAAGTTTGGACTTCTCTACCCAGCGGTGCTCCGAATCACGCTGCCGAGCGGAGACACACATCGGTTTGAAGACCCTACAGCTGCAAATGACTTTGTCAATACAAAACTCAAGAAAGCAGTCACTCCAAGTGCTGTGTGATGGAGCAGGGCTGAGCTAGCAGAGCCGGCTCCTTGTCACACTTTTTTTGTTTGTTCATGACAACTTGGACTGCATCTCCCAGTAAGTCATTGTAGCTTTCCATGATAATTAGTTGCTGACAACATGTCTAAACGTGTGACGAACGTATTAATGTTCTGTTTATTTTGTGCGTGTTTACTCTTGTTTTACCCAGTCACCTTTCTCTTTGGGTAGCTTTAGGCTGTGTTAGTAGTAGCCTAGGATGGTAGTAGCTACGACGGAGCGTTTAGCAATTCCTATAAGGTTTGATCGCCGTGTCTCGCATGGGGAGGCACTTCTGCCAAGGTGGGAGGGAGTAACGTGGTTCTTTTACCACAAAGGGTTGTTCTATATTGTGTGTTTTGTTCGTGTCGGCTTGGTCTATCAACATTGTACATGTCGAAATGCTGTTATTCGTTATACCTCATTCTGCTATGTTATATTATGCTTCACTCCTTGCCTCTTAAGATGCTTCTATGGTTTCACCTAAATTAATACAACAAGATGGAGAGGGGCTTCAATTTTGTACCTGGAACTGTAGGAGCCTTAACAATCCTGTTAAGCGCAGCAAAGTGTTGCACCATCTCAAGCACCTGGGTGCACAGATAATTTTTCTACAAGAAACTCATCCTAGAGTCTCTGATCAGAGCAGATTAAAGGCCAGTTGGATTGGCCATACCTACCACTCTTCTTTCACGGGGAAATCTAGGGGAGTAGATATTTTATTGCACAAGTGAATTCCTTTTGTGTG